GGATAGATATACAGTTACTTTTTCTTAGTTCAATGAGAAGAAACATTTGTACTAATATTGTTTAGAAAAGATATCATGTCTGCATCTTGTCCTTTGAATAACTACTATGAATACAACAATATACAATGTATTAATTATTGTGACTGTCTTACTAACCTGTTTTGAAACTGCCACATTGCTATTTTATCTTTTTTCTCATTAAAATGAGTAAAAAATCCAAAAAACAAAAAAAAATTACTTTAGATATAATTTTTCCGCTAAGATTAGCTGGCAAGGTAACCCCATGCACCCTAAAATGTGACCATGTACAGAAAAACTTCCCTGAGCGCTAGGGCAGGAGGAAGCTGCAGTACAGGGTGGGTCGGGAAGAGTCACAGGTCACTAAGAGATGGTCATTGCCCCTGAAGTGTGGCCGGGCAGTTCGTGGATGGACGTGAAAATTGGGAGGGGATTTTCTCATTCCAGAGTGGTTGATCCCAGGTAAAGAGGCCAGAATAGGTGGGTTCTCATGAATTCTGAAACTATACAGACAAATCTCCCTTACATGAAAAGGCTTTCCTCTGAGAAAAATTCCATACTGAAGAACCCCATTGTTACAGACAAAACAAAAAGAAGACCCAAATGAAAATGAAAAGTAAGATTAAAAAGGTCTTATAAAGTTATTAGTCATAGTTGCGAAATAGAATAAATTTAAAAGTATAAATTAAAGACTTCTTGATCATGTCTCCTCTTAATAGTAAATAAAAAGAAAAGAAAAACCAGAAAACTAATTTTCTGAAAAATTAGTAACAGAAAATAAAGGTTTAAACTTAAAACTGGTTTAAAACAAAAACCAGAATAAGTAGCAAAATGGTACATCTACTGACATTGCATACCCCAAAGATGAGTACATTTTTCTATTTCTAATTTCTATTCTTTACCTACAGTCACTAATGAATCCAAAGTCTTAGATGAAATGGTGCAGTATGAATAACCTACAGCAGAATTAGAAACTTGAGTACAGGTTGACCCAACCAAAGTA